TAAATATGTACTTCTTGTCATGACATACCATTTATTGCCATACTGCCTCTCAAGTAAAGGGTTTTTATTTTTATTTTTTTCTTTAAAAAAAGGGTAATAAATGAAAAAAAGACACAAAAATAAGAAAAAAAAAAGTCACAGGTCTGTCCTGTTACAATTCTGTATATGGTTAGATTTCTAAATTTTTTTTTTTTTTTTGCGGAACCAGGGATTGAACTCAGATCCTTGCGTTTGCCAGTCCTACTTATCCTACTGAGCCATCTCCCCGGCCCCTCTAAATTTCTTTGTAAAAATATGTAAATGCTTATTTCTACTTTTTTAAAGTTATTTTTCCTTCATATTCTGTAAGGACTTAAAATTCAACATATCAATAGTTGATGAAAAATACCTGTTTCATGATATGCCAAAGATATTTGATATTTAGACAGAGAGGGCAAACCGAACTGCATATATTGCAGGTTAATAATAAGCTTCTCTTCTGGAAGGTTAACAACCTAAGTTAGCAGATCAAAACTGGAGAAAAGGAAGGACTGCAAGGTCAGCCAACATTTTGGCGCTAGCCTTTCAAGGTCAGTGAAGACTCGGGACATAAGAGAACTTGTACTATAACATCATGTGACTCAGTTGTGCTCCAAATTTTCTGATCAAGGAGATTATGGAGCCACAAGAGGAATGTGATTAATGATGTATAGTGTGCCTGGGGAGAGTCACATGGAGAGAAAAAACATTCTCTCAGGCTTTCACAGAGAACACATTGGTCAAGCAATGGCTGTGACTCATCCTCATGGCTGACACTGACAAAGGATCTACAAAGTGCAGTACAGGGCTACAGGATACATCCTGAGGAGACTTGACTGAACTTATCAGATACAAAAGTTACATTTCTTGTTATATAGGCCCTGCTTTATCTTGGTCTTAACCATCCAGCAGAAAAGTATAAAAACAAGGTAAAGTAAAGCCATATTAATACGATGAGCTGTAAAAGGCTCTAGTCAATAACTTCTGAGGATAACCCACTAATATTATAGACTGCTGGACAGTGTTGGATTATTTTGCTGAATTCAATACCCACCTCTGACAGGACTAAACAAAAAGGGGATACAAAGGTAAGATCATTTTGTATTTATATATACAAAATAGGATAGATATATAGCTACTTTCACATAATTCAATGAGAAGAATGAGGTGTACTAATAGTGTTTGGACAGGATATCCTGTCTGCTTCTTGTGCTATGGATAACCACTAAGAAGATAACAATGTACAATGTATTGATTATCAAAACTGTCCTGTTAATCAGCTTTGAAACTGCCTCATTCATATTTTTCTCAACAAAATTAAAATAAATTAAAAAATAAACCGCATAGTGAGACCTTGTACCAAAAAAACAAAAACAAAAAACAAACAAAAAACCCACAAGAAATTAAAAGAAGCCTGCAGCTAAGGAGAATGGAATAGAAGGATAAAACACAGCGAAGTTATAGGTCTAATGCTAACCTTGGGTTGCCAGCCTATTGACACCAGTTTTCTCTATGCAGTTTAGGCTGACCTTAAACTCCCACTGTAGCCCAGGCTGTCCTCAAACTCTTAATCCTCCCACCTCAGCCTCCCGAGTGCTGGGATTACAGGCATGCACCGCCATACAGTTGGATTTAGATGACATTTTCATGATGGTTATGTGTTCCAGCTGTTCTTTGCATCTGATTCCTCTTTTGTTAACTGAACTTTTAAAACTTATTTTTTCACTAATAGGTAAAACCGTATGTGATATGGTAGTATTTAGTGTTTGACAGACATACACCTTATGTTGGTCTTGATTTTTAAACATGATTTCCTATCAAAGGCATCAGGGGCCCTTGGACGACATGGCTGCTCCACAGTCCAAAGCAGAACATGCGTGAGATGGGGTGAAAGTAAGCAGCTCTTCAAAGAACAGTGCCTTCGGAAGGACAGAGAGGCTGACCTGCCCGCACGAGCTCGTCATCAAATACATGACAACTCCACCAAACACATGGTATGAACAAATAAATGGGAGAGCAAGCTTCCTGAAAGCAAAATGACAACAGAGAAGGAATAAAGGAAGTAAATTATTGGAAAACCATCAAAATAGTAACTCAGCTAAGAAAGTCCAGCAGCAGAGCTGGCACTGGGCAGTCAGAATCCTGCCTCCACAGAATACTTACAGGAAAGTGCATGTTAACTGCAGCATGAAAGGCCACCTTGCGAGGCCAGAGGCTCGCTGGCAGTGGAGCAAAAGGACCTCCCTGCCTTCCACTGGGACGCACCAAGGGCAGCGCAGCAGCGCCTCTGGGATGCTCCCGCTCCCGCTGCACGCTCGGAATCTCATCACTGGGAAGCGTGGTAGAAGCGCAAGTGGAAGATCTTCTACAGAACAGTTTCTAAACATTAAAAAAATGAAAGCCATGGACATCAAGGAAGAACGAAGAGATGGCTCTGAGTTGAACAGAACTCAAGAAAGAGGACACTAAGACCCAATGTGATCTTGGTTTGGACTGTCTTGCTAATAAGACTTAACTGGTCAGCGAGGGAATGTGAGCGGTGTCTGTGGGTGACGGCTGAGCAGGAATTATTTACAGTGGTCTTACAAACTTTTCTGAAGTAGCAAATTATTTAAAAAGGACCCAAAAGTAACAAATTTGTTCAAAAACTTTTATTTACTATAAAGACAAAACACCAAAATAGGTACAAATACTATAAAATTGGTTCAATGGGGTAAAAATTTTAATTAAAATATCTCAATATATTTAAAATAACAAAGGATACATTTAAGCCAAATTTTCTTAACCCAGAGATTTTTTTTTCTTTTTTGTAACATTTGCTTACACAGTAAGGTGCTACCAGAAGTCAGCCCTTAAGCCCTGGAAGTCTTAGGAATCAGTCACACAGCAAATATAATTTCCTTGTGAAAGTGAACTTTGGTAGAAGAAAAATCTATAGGACACCTGAGGTAGTAGAAAGTGGAATAAACAGCAGTAGACGTTATTTACAACTTGAGTACCAAATAACATTAAGAACACAAAAATAATTACACAATACAATTTTCAGTCCAGCTTTGATCCAAAGAAAAAAAGAATATTACATCACATTTGCAATGAAGACAAAACAAAAAACAAAACACCACAATTACCAGCAAGCTGAGGGAACTGCAAACAAACTCAAACACAACAGCTTTTGACATCTCGAGACAGTCTGAGTTTGAAATGTGGCGGGCATGGTGATCTAGAAGTAACACTGGTTAGCTGAGGTTCCTCAGTTTATACAGTTTACGTTTCCGTCAGACGCCATACTGCTCTGACCGATGATCTTCCAGTACATCAAATGGCAAGAGTGCGCCCTTTAAAGCTCACATGTGGGAGACTTGGAAATAATCTTATCAGAGCTGTGAAAATTCTAAATAGTAAAAAAGTCAAGTACAACACACTGAGAACTACCAAACTTCACATTTCTGAACTACTTTTAACTCTTCGAGTATTGCCAATCTTGCAAAACAAAGGAATGTAAAATTTCACTAAGAAGCACAATCACATAAAAAACTGCTTTTTAAGAATTATATGCAATATATCCCTGTAAACTTTTCCTGTAACTTATTTTACTTCCAATTTGTGTTGTACATTTTAAATGTACTCTATATAGCTTATTTAGCTTATCCTGAGTCTTTGAGAATAACCAATTCTATTTCACACTGGCATCTGAAGAGTTAAAACTTAACATCTCAAAGATATATTTAATAATCAGTACTTGATTTAAAAGACTCACACACAAAGAAGGATAAAAGAGCTACCTTTCCCTCCAGGATTCCATGCATCTGAATTCAACTCCAGACTAAAACCATTAAATAATTGTGCAATATCCAAAGAACTGATATGATGTGACGCGAGTTCATTTTTTCTGAGCGTTTTCTCGAAGACCAAAGCAAATGTATTGTTAAAAACACTACTGCCTTGTGGTCAGGCGCACACTATCCCTCAGGCAGCTGGTGTGAACGGCGATGCACGGTGGAGGAGATCCGCCCTGGGCGCGCCGTGTCAGGAGTGGCAATCGTGACCTGCAGTCAGGCCCACGCGGTGTGAAGCTGCCCACGCTTCAGTAAAGAAACTGAACTATGGGACACAATTCAAATAAATTTCTAAGTAATCTTGCTCTTGGTTTTGAGCTGCATCACAGAAGACAGCTGATTTTGGTAATTTACATTTAACTTGCCAAGCAAGATGATTCATTCAATGTAGGCAGTACATTAAATTCCAATTAAAAAAAATTAAACCTGCATTTAAAAATTCTTGCAGTAGCAAATACATAGTAAAGTCTAGTTCACACCAACTTTTTTTCTAGTTTGAAACGATCACCTTTCCCTGAATATTAAACAGACATGGAGGTGAAATGGAAACACAGAACCGCAATTTCCAAAAACGAAATGAATGGGCCAACAGTAAAATGCACAATGAACCACAGATGCCAGGCATTAAAAAAATAAAGGTCGTGAAGAAGTCATCATTTTTAAAAATATATATGTATTTACTGCTACTTATAGCATACTCTGTCCTAAAAGAGGCAGATACTAATTTTTATAGCCAGTGACCGAAAAACTGAACGGAATTATAGAACCCCCTGCTTGTGATCACTAAGAGAAATGGAAGAATAGTTGAAACATTAAAATAGATCCTGAGCCCCTCAGCTGCTAATATTGCTGAAAAAGTGCTCCAAAAATATTACGCTTCTGCTCTTTAGTCATGCAAACTTCACTGCTTGCCTGTCTGCCTAGGGCCAGTTCTCTGCAAGGCACGGGTTACAGTTTCTGCACAAGTTGTAGACTCTGCACACTGAGCGTAGGTACACGACATGATTTGTCAGTCACAGACTTGGGGGAGGCTCCCCCGGGCCTCATCACGACAGCCGTGGCGGCCGGCAGATTATCGGCGTGGTTCCCCACAAGTTCTCTTCCTTGCTCACATCCAGGCTCTGATTTACTCCACAGGGGGCTACCAGGTCGTACGGAAGACGGGATGCTTCAGCAGCTCTCGCGATGGAGGTCTGTCCTGAGGCTGAAGCTCTAAGCAGCGAAGAGCCACATCGCGTAAGCCAGGAGACAGATGGGAGGGGATCGACGGGGCAGTAGTCGCACTAGCAATCTGCAGAACAAAAAAGCCAGAGAGCTGACGCTTTCCGTAAATGCAGCTCTGAACGCAGAAGTGCACATACATGCATTTCAGTCTCTTACCAGAGCGCGCTTATTCACTGCACTGATTTTTTCTGTAACACTGGACGAATCTTAATTCTTAATATGAAACACTATGAAGAACTTACTTTAATAAACAGATTCTGAATAAATCTTCAAAATATAAAATGTTAGAAAAAAATAAGGCTGTGAGCCTATACTAAGATATACTTAGTTGATACATAAGAAAAAATGATACACTTTTTCCTTTTCCCCAAATGTGATCATTCAGCACTAACATTTCCTGTTTTCCTTTAGGGGTTAAAAAAAAAGGGCTACTATATTCACAACTTACGTTACCTTCACAAAATGCCTACAAAAGGAATCACTTTATATATCTCGCTCTTTTCACTTATTTATGTATTGCACTACCTTCTACATTAATACAAACCGCTTAAATTTTTATATAGTTTTACAATCTTTCTTATTGTTGGGCATTTCAGTGAGTCCAGGCTCTGGGTATTCCCATCCACAGTGCCACAGATGATCGTGAGCGTGGCACCTTCTGTGGGTAAATACGAAGTCCCAGCAATGGGCACAGGTGAGTCGGAGAGCATGCGTACTTCCAATTTTGGCAGGACCCTGCCAAGTCACTCTCTTAAAAAAAAAAAGTGCTCTAGCAATTCAAACTATTACAAAAGGGAAAAAAGATAGTTGTGAAAGCAGTTTTACGATCTGTGATGCTTCCACAGATCTCAAAATATTTACTGGAAGTTGAGAAAACTGAAAGCACTGCAGTATAATTCACTTTTAGATACACTTCGGAATCAGAGTGCATATGAAATCTGTTAGAGTATATCGTGTGTCACTTTAATTTTCATTTGTTTCAAGTGTTCATCAAAGCTCTAAAACCACCAAAGTTCAAACTGACTTTGCCATGAGCATTTATTGAGCGAGTTCTGTATCAGATGGAGGCTTAGAGTTCGTAAAAGGAGGGGGACAGGAGCGTAAACACGAGACCAACGGTGGAAGCACTGGCCGCAGCACAGCGAAAAGCTCTGGGGTCTGGGGAGGAGCGCCGCGTGTGTAGCGGGTCCCAGGCCTGGCGGCTCTGCAGCCGTGGAGAAGGGGTCTGGGACGCGGGAAGAGGGGAAGCTCAACAGCACACAGTGGAGCCCGAGGAGGCGCGCCTGAGCAGGGCGCAAAATGTGGGAACTTGAAAGAAGGCGACGGCTGTGGGCGGCCGTGCAATACGTGCACAGGAGTATTTCACCTGCAGGATGACTCAGTTTTTGCTAATTCAGTGTCTGTAGAGAATTCATAAGTCTTGATTGACTGGTACAGTGAGAAGTTACAGTAAATGCCACCAAGAGTGGCAACACTACTATACATTTCTATATAGTTCAAGAAAGAGGTAACTGTCACATCGATAAGAGAGAAACCATGAGAATTTGACCCCTGACAATTTTAGCACAAAAGAAGTAGTTTTTGTCTCAAAATTACCTTAAATATCAAAGCAAGATGGTTGGAGTGTTTCTCTGCATTCCAAGGTGGCTTTGCACAAGCCATTTCTATAATAGCACAGCCAACACTCCATACATCACAGCTCCTACCGTACTGCTGACCTCTTAGTACCTAAAACAAAGCAGAGTTAATTTGGAAATGTGGCTCACTTAAAAAAGAGAAGGCCATTTCGTGGTTATAGATTCTAATTTCTCTACTTCAGAGCAAAATAATGGCATGAACAGTAATTACCTAAAGCTACTTGACAGCTCATTAACAAGCTTCATCTTCCATCATGCACAAAACTAAACATTACAGAATTCCAAGCCAGCCCCGGTGCTCTTAGCAAAACCGGGAGGCAAACACAGCAAATAACCGCGATGCACAAACAAGAGCCTGAAGGAAGGCCATGTTCAGAAGAACGAGTGTTCCACTGCGCCACCAAGCAGGCTGCCCTGTGGGCTTCCCCTCCCTTTGGAACACAGAACTCCTTTTTATTGTGTGTGCTTTGCGTTTGTTAGGAAACCACTACTATGAACTAACAAATAGTTTTGGTTGCTGTCATTGTTATAATGGTCTTTAAGCAAGTCTATTAAAGCCTGTCTTTTGGAATTTCACTAAGACAAAGATAAAAGGCTGGGAATAGGGTCTAAAATACCTCATACCCTGTGACATAACCTAGTACAGTGCAATCACACAGAATTCCAAAATATTTTCTTTTGTTATACTCAAAACTACTTCTCACCTCAGGTGCCATAAATGCAATTGTCCCCAATAACTGTCCCTGAAACTCTCCTGCACCAGTTCCTTTCGACGCCAACCTGGCTGCAGCTCCAAAATCTGCAATTCGCAGCCTCTGACCTGTGCTGTCAATTAGCAAATTGGCACCTGTCAACAGAAACAGTAAATAACCTTGGATGTTAAAAACAGAAGGACAGAGAAAAGCCCAGTCAATTTCCACAAAAGAAGTAGGACAATGACGAAAGAAGGGGACAATATATAAGTGGAATATATATCAGACTTAAAGAGAAGACCTCTCTTCTCCCTCCATGTAAATAATGATAAAGGTACAATGGTCTCTCCAGTGGGATTAAAATCTAAAGCCCCAGAGGGAAAGTCTGAAAAACCGTCTGAAGGCACAGTGAGGGCAGAGACCTCTGTGAGCCTTTAAGGAGCAGGTACTAAAAAGTTTGAGTAGTACAAAAATTTCCAAAAAAGTCTCTCTTCAAATTTCAGTGTAATTCACATTTTATGACAATACACCGACCTAGACTAATTCAAAGTGTATGCTTATTTCATAATTACAGCTTAATAATCTTATAATAGTACTTCAATTCAATACACTATTTCAAATACTAATTAAAGAGATTCATGACAGAAAACCAAAAGCTACTGTTAAGAACAAGAAGTAACTTACATGAAAGGATTTTTTAAGTGGAAGTGTATGATATCCTCCTAATTATTCTACATAAAACCAAATAAACTTTCTGGGAGTCAGCCACCCTATGCTTTCTGTTATCAAATAGTAATAAAGCTGTGGAAAAGTTATGGCCTCTCCTATATTCAGTGCACTTTTCTATCAAATGAGAAAGGCAGATTAAATGACCTAAAGGTTTCTCTTTTAGTCTAATACTTTAGCAATCTGAATTATTCAGAAAAACAATTTGATAGTTAAAAATTTAGCTTAGAAACTATCAATGAATAATCAAGCTTAAAAATTACATTTCTTTTCTTATGGTCACTAGAAAATAATTAGGAGAATTTTTACCTTTGACATCTCTGTGGATGATCTGGTTTTCATGAAGATATGACAAGCCACGAAGTAACTGTTCAGTGTAGTTAATAACTACTGATTCCTTGAAGGCTCCATATTTACTCAGCAGATGAGCCACAGATCCTCCTATGAAATAATTGCAAAACAGCAATAATTACCATGAACTAGCTCAGAAGTAGAATTACCTATTACACTTTGGCTAATTAAGCTTGCACTGCACAAGGTCATATTCGTATCTGAATTGTTAAACTCATACTGCACATCAGGAGTGAATCTGACTTCTTACATTGTCTCAAAAATCTATCAATTAGGAGACATTTCTACAAAACCTTCATGAAGCCAGTTTACTGGAGGGCCAGGATTTTAGAAAGCTTTTGAAGTTAACAAAAGCTATTTCTGAATGTACACTTCACTCTGTCTTCTCAACAAAAACATACGAAATGCCTTTATTACTGGCTTACATCAATAGTGCTGACCTACTCAGCAGATGGTAAAGAGACTGAGAGACGACCTTGAGTCGGGCTTCACCCTGGGACAAGGAACAGGCTCAGCAAACCCAATTTAGAAGTCTTCGGAACAGGCAAGCTCTCTACTCTATGTCCTTAGGAGGACCAACAGATTGTATTTGAGAATTGCTAAGTTAACAACACATACTTAAAACATAGAAATATAAAAAGTTAGTACAACAAGTTATGTCTCACAATCTTAATTTGCTTTTAGAGACTCAACTATTGTTTTCTTTCTTTCTTTTTTAAAAACTGTTCTCAGGTTTTGTTAAACTGTTCAAACTATTTAGATTAAGTCTTCACTAAACTTTTCCTGACACCTGACAGCAGCAGGCCCAGCCCATGTGCTCACGTCCTGCTCCTTGCAACTCAGAGCCCAGACGCACCAGCCATCCACTCGATGAAGAGGTTGTAGTTGCTCTTCTCACACGTGGCTCCCAGCATCCTAATGATGTTTGGATGATTTAGATGGCTCATCATTCGTATCTCTTCTCTCAGTGCTTCCACGACCTCCTCCTGCTCAGAAGATGTGTTTCTGACGTATGTCACCTGTTTCAAGTAAACATGGTCACAAAATTTTAAATTCTGATGTTTGTCTTCACAAAAGAATCTGATCTAAATGGACAAATCCAAATTATCTTATACATTAATAGCAGATGGCGGGGGCCTGGCCCTAGCTCAGGCCTTTAAGTGGCTGCTTCCACAAAGCTGTCAGTCTCAGGTTGCTGGAGTTCGAACCTCACACCTCTCCCGCTGGCCAAAAGTGCCCTGAAGGCATTTGAGGAACCAAAAAAA